ATACAGGCACACCCACAGGCCTGACTTAAAGATGGATCCATTAGATTAAGGAACTTGAGACTAGCATTTACAAAAGCCAGCATTTTGAGGCAGGGCTTTCCCACATGAAGGGCTTCTCTATGGTCAGTTCCCATATTATTCCTCCCAGGTTTCCTCACAATGACTTATTGTAGCCTTAATTACTTGTTCCTCTGTGGGAGGTCCCTTCTAGACCCCTTTCATGGCAAAGTCACACATGACCAGTATTTAAGATAACTCCAATAGGTTCACCCACAATCATTGTTTTGCCCTCTGGCCCCTCATCTTTGAGGCTATCTTCAAAATGAATCTCAATCAGCTTTACTGGTGTGGTTAGTTCCATTACAGCATCATGAGGTCTGAGAGATGATCCATGGCTGACCTATTCGCAAGTGGTACCACCCAAAGGAGAAAAGACAAAACCCCTCAGGGGAGCAGTTAGTTACATAATGGGTGTCCAGGAATTGGAGCTGCCCTGGGACAAATTGGTGAACTGGTTCGAATGTGCATCTACAGTATCAAGAAGGAGCTGGCTGAGGAGCTGAGCTGTTGTCTCCATCCTGAAGCCATTTTGAGATGGTCAGTTTCAGAGGCCAGTCTGGGTCATCTCTCATGTCACAATCCTGGCTCAGTCCCACAGCAGCCTTGGGGTGTATCCATAGCTTGACACCTTCAGCTTTTTGTGTAATGTCAGATAAGTCTTGCAAGAACCACTGTGGTGGTGCACACCTTTAATCCCTGCACTTGGGAGGCAGAGGCAGATGGATCTTTGTGAGTTCGAGGCCAGCCTGGTGTACAGAGTGAGTTCCAGGATGGTTAGAGAAACCTTGTCTCAAATACACACACACACACACACACCGACAACAACACTGGAAGCAGGTGTGTCCATACTCTCAGAGGTTCCCTGAATCCTTTGTGGCAGGGATGTGGTGGGTGGACAAGCATTACCTCAAAAGGAGAATAACCACATTTACAGAACATACAATGCGCCTTAAACAGGACAGGTGTCAGAATTTCTGGTCGAGGGAGGTCTGTTTCTGGGCAACGCTTGGCCAGTGCCTTTTTTTTTTCTGTTGCATTTTCTTATTTTAAATATGTATACTCTATCTGTATGAACAACTTTATGCCAGAAGAGGGCATCAGATCCCACAATAGATGGTTATGAGTCACCATGTGGTTGCTGGGAATTGAACTCAGGACCTCTGGAAGAGCAGTCAGTACTCTTAACCCCTGAGTCATCTCAGTGCCATTTAAAAAATCTTGTTTATTTTCCCAAGCATGCTTAAAGGTTGGGGGTAGTAACATGTGCACAGGTTCCAAGTTAATTCTCTGTACAGGCAGGAAAGGGGTCTACCCAGCCTCAGAATGTGCATACCATAAGCAGCAACCATTGGTGCCTTCTGTTGGGTTCAACGTCTGTAAAAACCACCTCTAGATGTTTAAATGGTAGGCCCCTAGTTTTAGTGTTAGCATGGGGCCCTGGGACCCTGCTTGGGGTTATCTTGAGCACACTGCAGATAGTCCTTGTTAGCTTATTGGGTCAGTGTTGGCAACATCAGGACCACCAAATATATTTGCAACATTTCTTTTTGTTGCGGTTTGTTTTCAAGACCGCCCTAGTTGTTCCAGCTCTCCAACTCTGTCTGTAGGTTAGGCTGGCCTCCCAAGTGGTGGGATCAAAGGTGCCACCACAACTGGCCTCTTGCAACAGTTCTGATAGGGCAGTTTTCCCAGAGGGGTTGCTGTGCGAGCTTGCCAGACTAGACTGGGAGCTGGGGTCTCTGGTATTATTTTTCTATCTGTGGCATTCAGCCAGCCCTACTGATTTTTAGTAGCTCTGTTATTAGGTTTTTATACATTTAAACTTATTTATTTATTTATTAGTGTGTGTGTGAGGGGTGCATGGGCGTGCCACAGGTTCGTGTGGAGGATAGAAAACAACCTACAAGTGTTGATTCTCTCTTCCCCCTGGTTGGTCCTGGGAACTGGACTCAGGTTATCAGGCTTGATGGTAGGGTCTTCACTCACGGGCTCACTGAACCATCTCGCTGGCCCGTATCAGTTTTTGTTTGTTTTCCCCCTTTTCTGGCCTATATGAGAAAGGAGTTTTTGGGGTAATGAGAGGAGACTTTGGAGCTGTGTCCTCATGGACTGGACCTTGGCTCTTTGTGTGAGCCTGGTAGTGTATCACTGCCATGCCATGGGAGCTCAGACAGCTTCTAGGAGCTGGAGAATTTGGACTCCGTGTTTAACTTCTTTAGCCTCTGAGGTAAGCAGTCTCCTTTCTTGGTATATTGTTGGTTTGAGTATTCCCCTGCCGGGGGCTTCAGCTCTCCTCAGTACTAGGCTCCATATCTGCATTGCGGAGCCCCTAGTCCTTTAAGTATGACCAAGCATGTGTTGTAGCTCTGAGGGGAAAGGCATCCTGACAGTTGGGAGCCAAGGAATACCAAAGTCACACTGCACAACACACCTCATGCAAGAGCTTTATTGTGGAAGACCCAAAGTGTGGAGGGAAGCAGCAGGGAGCTGAGCAGGAGACAGGCTTATAAAGGGCTTCTTGGGGGCAGAGGTTTCCAGGGTGGAGATTTCGGGGTGGGGATTGGTAGGATTTCAAGTCCTGAGCTTGGGTCAGAATTGGTGGGCTTTTGAGCTCATGAATTGGTGGATTTTCAAGATCAGGAATTGGTGGATTTTCAAACTCAGAAGTGAGTTCATACTTTTCTCCCTCCAGTGAGGAGACACTCCAACAGGTATTTCCTTGTTCTTCGTAATTATCTTCTGGGAAAAGACTCAATGGGTAACGTATAAAAAGCAGCTCTTTGCCCAGTAAGAAAAGAGCAAATATTACAGATCGGTATCCTATACAGTATGTATTTTATAATCAGAGTGATAATAGTATATAGTATGGCTGAGAATAAAGAGTCATTACTCTGCTTCTCAAGTAAGTTGAGACTTTTGCTGTTCTTCAGTCCTGTGTCCCTGGCCTCCTCGACCCCAATCTTTCATGGGAAATTGATGACTTCACAGCTAAAACAGCATCCTGCTATCTGTGCAAATTGACACCTGTCTAGTGTAGCCAGAGGGAACTTTCTTGCATGGATAAACATATGTCCTTAGTTTTCCATGGTGGATCAACTACAGAGTTCATAAGATTAACTCTGCCAGGAACCTGACAGTACCTGATCACCTAAAAGACATACTGGCGGTAGACGTTCCTTTGTTTTAACTTTGGCTAAGTGTCCTGAGAGAAGCTTACCCAGAATGAGTTGACATGAGTACGTGCCCTCAATAAAAGTGGCTGATATGTGGGGGCTGGAGAGATGGCTCAGAGTATAAGACCCGTGGCTGCTCTTCCAGAGGACCTGAGTTCAATTCCCAGCAACCACATGGTGGCTCACAACCATCTGTAGTAAGATCTGGTGCCCTCTTCTGGCCTGCAGGCATACATGCCAGCAGCAATACACTATGCATAATAAATAAGTTTTATTTTATACATTCCGGCTCAACCATACCCTTTTTCCTGGGATGGGACATAGAGACCCCACAGGAGTAAACTTATGCTAGCCTTGTCATGGGATAAGGAAGCATGGGGACTCCCAACTGTACAGGCTGGCGTATAGGAACCCCCTTACCAGCAGGGATGGTGAATTACTCCTCATGTCTCACATGGCAGGGTAATAGAGGCTCACCTCCCCCATCCATGTCTCAAGCAGCAGAGGAGATGTTGCAGTCACTCAGTACTCACTGTGTCCTGAGCTGACAGTGGTGCTGTGGACAGGACAGCTTTCCTCAAGCCACACCCGACTGGTCTAGGACCCTCACATTGGTCCAACTACCCATACCCTTTACCCTGGCCTTTGGCCTTTAGTTCTCCTCTTAGCAAAACTAATCCCAAGGCTGAGAGGCCATTACCCGGTCCTCTGGTATCCACCCTGACTCTATCCCAGGGAGTTGCAAATGAATTTAAGGCTGAAAATCAAGTAGACAGACTGTCCTCTGGTGGTCAACAGGAGACAAGAACGTAAAATAAACAACAAAAGATGTACCAAGTGTACCAGGGATGGCCTTTAATGAATATCTAGCCAGCAGAATGCCGACAACAGAGTGGCTTGAGAGAACAGAATCACACTTTGTATGAGGCTAACAAAAAAAGACAGATGCCACATCCAGAGAGACAGAAGAAGACTGACCGTCCCAGGGGCTGTGGCTTGGAAATGGCCTAGAAACTGACAGTCGTGGTGTTTATACAGTGATATAAAGATGCATTATGCCAGTGAACCGGACACTTCAAAACAGCTAAAGTGGGAAGCCATTTAAATACATACATGCACACATGTGTGCATGCACACACACATGCTGGCACACGCCTACATCTTGTTAACAGAAAAATCAGGGACACACTGTACATGGCAGTCTCAGGACAGAAACAGCCCAGCTGGGCCTTCACACCATGGGTTTTACATCTGTGGATGGAAAAAACCGTAAATTTAAAGTATTCAGAAACAAGGTATGTCCTCAGTGAAACACGGGCAGTTCCTTCTCCTGTTCCTCTTCCTCGCTTCATGTGGATGAATGGTGTCTAGGCAGCATTGGTGTGGGCATCAGAAATGACTTGAGCCTGTGGGAGGATACGTCTGCTTCTGTGCAGACACCGCAGCACAGGGGATTCAGAACATCCAGAAGTCTGGGGGCCCTTAATTAATCCCCTTTGTAGTTTTGCTTAATATATATATATATATATATATATATATATATATATATATTTTTTTTTTTTTTTTTGAGATTGGGTTTATCTTTGTAGCCCTCGCTGGTTCCAATGCACATTCCTCCTGACTTTGTTTAATCCGGGACTACAGATCTGTGTCGCCATGCTTGGTGTCTTATGGTCTTCACTGATTTCCCCCTAGAACGCTTCTCCATTTTCCATATCATTGGCAACCCTCCCCCCTCCGCCCTGTGGTGCCTGGAGAGAGGACAGGTCACTCACTGGTCACAGACATTTGGACTGGGGGACTCATCTTAGAACTGTACCCGTTGGAGACCTCACACTGATACTCCCCAGCATCCTCCATCCTGACCGGATCTATTACGAGTTGACTGTTTTTCTGGGACAGCGTCATCCTGCTGTTGAAATACAGGCTCTGGCGATTGAAGAGCCAGCGGATGGAGAGTCCAGAGTTTTCTGGGAGGCAGGTGAGGGTCACAGAACCATCTTCTGTTACTGTGGTTTTGTCTGCTTGGAGGGTAGGCTGTGCCACAGGCTCTGTGAAGGAACAAAGGAGAGGACCGAATGATGGAGGTTCATCCTCAGCCTCAGAGCCCAGCCAGCCCTCTCTGGGCCATGGACACCTGGTAAGGCATCCAGGGTGGAGAAGTTGGTCCTGAGGCTGTAGACAGACATGTACTGCTTCAGATCTGCCTCCTACAGTCTGTGTGGCCCTAATTCCATCACTGTGCTTCCTGTATGTATCTCTGTTTCCACATAATAGGGCACATGGCTTGGTAGTGTTGGCATATGCCTTTAATCCCAGCACTAGGGAGGCAGAGGAAGGCGGAGGTCTGTGAGATCGAGGCCAGCCTGGTGGGTTCTAGGATAGTCAGGCCTGCACTAAGAAGCCCTGTCTTGAAAAACAACAACAACAACAACAATAATAATAATGCACATGACTCAAATGATCGCTGCCATGTCTGTAAGGTGACATATTTAAGGTGACTTAAATATGAACTAGGACCTGATCTTCAGAGGTGGGGGTTTCCCAAACATCCGAGTCTGTTACTCTGCCTACAGGAGAGAGTCAACTGGGCTGGACAGTTGCCAGAAGGACGTGTGTCCCCATGAACCCCTCAGAACAGCGGGACGCTCCACACTGAGACTCAGAAGATGTCCGGCTGACCTAGCCTACCTGTGACCCTCCATCCAGGGCCCGGCTGACCTAGCCTACCTGTGACCCTCCATCCAGGGCCCGGCTGACCTAGCCTACCTGTGACCCTCCATCCAGGGCCCGGCTGACCTAGCCTACCTGTGACCCTCCATCCAGGGCCCGGCTGACCTAGCCTACCTGTGACCCTCCATCCAGTGCCCGGCTGACCTAGCCTACCTGTGACCTTCCATCCAGTGCCCGGCTGGTCCCACCTGATACGAGACAAACAGTCAACAAAGCCTTGTCCCCTGTCATCTCTAACAGGAAGTCAAAGTCCAGCCCTGGAGGAAAGATCCCTGGGTCCCCTGGAGACGAGTCTGGCACAGAGATCTGGAGTCAGGACTTTCTTGTGGTCACCTCATTGTGAGAACCCCATGGTTTCCTCAGTCAGGCCCTTTCTGAATCAAAACCATCTTTGTCAGGGCCATGTTCATGGTGAAGCCCCAAGAGTTTGGGCTAAGGGTGACATCCTCAGACTGAGTTACATAGCACATGCCCTGCTCTCTGGAGGCAGCCAGGTAAAGGACTCTGACCTACTGTTGTTTTTCCTCCTCAGTGTGTGTCCTGTACTAAATGCTCAAACGCCAGTGAGGAAACCCATGCAGAAGATGGGCATTGTCTATGCCTGATGGGTCCTGTGTGTTTAAGTAGAACGAGCCCCACCCGGCACCCAGAGGTCACATGATCACTTACTGTATACTTCCAGATGTACGTGTGTGAGTTCACTTTGCATTTCTGTGTTGAACGTCAGTAAGGTGTAGAATCCGCTGTCAGCCTGGGTGACGTTTCTGATCAGCAGGGATCCACTGTAGAATACTGTTTTCCTACCACTGTGTTGAGGCATCTTCGACGTTGTGTTATTGGGTGTTAAGTAGCGTGCAACTTCGTAGCTCTTGGTCGCATCTTTCTGTTTGTACCAGTAAAATGCCTGGACGTTCAGCGGCATTTTATGCACAAATAGGACGGAGTTTCCACCTTCAGCAACCATGGGGGGCACTAATTCAATAGTGAGTTTGGCAGTGGTAGGTGCATTCCAGCAGGTTAAGAGGAAGGCTAGGAAGAAAGAGAAATATCCATCAATATGGGGACCTTAGTGTTTGGTGGAAAGATGAACCCCAGCTCCTGAGCAGGAATGTTCGTCTCTCGGCCTAGGTGTGTGGTGGGGGCGTGCCCCTCCCACTCGGCGCAGGGGCTGTGCCTCTCCCACTCCGTGTCCTTCAGTTTCTGCATGGCCCGCTTACTGCCCTCATCTCTCTGCTCACAGCCACGAGTATATTTGGGGTTGGGGATGGCTCCCCTGACCTCCTCCTCTAGAGACCCTGGGTCATCACTACCTGAGAGTTGGTGGTTTGTTCCCTGGGTTTGCAGTCACCCCCTGTCTGCACCTTCCATGAGAACTAGGGCTTTGCAAGGGCAGGGGTGAGGGAATGGCCTTTGGGAAGGCCTTGTGCCTGGGAAAGACTCAGACCTCTGCGGAAGAATGAATGAATGAGTGAATGAATGTGCAGAACTGGGGGTGTCCAGGGCTTATTATGAAATTTTCAGTTTTAGAGCTAATAACAGTGTTTAATATCCCAGTTTGACTTAAACTGTTTTTTGTAAATTTATTTGGGACATGTGTCTATGTGTGTAAGTGTCTGTATCTGTGTTTCTCTCTGTGTATCTGTGTTTTTCTCTCTCTCTCTGTGTGTCTTTTTATCATTGTGATAAAATTTTACAAAGCCTAATTAAAATGCAAGATCAGATCAATTCCTTCCCAGCCAGCAGGAGAGGCTAAGTTTTCATGGTGACAGAGAAAGGAGTTTGCCTTTTTCTAAAGCAGCGGTTCTCAACCTTCCTAATGCTGTGACCCTTTAATACAGTTCCTCATGTTGTGGTGATCCCCAACCACAAAGTTATTTTCCTTGCTATCTCATAATTATAATTTTGCTACTGTTATGAATCATAATGTAAATATCTGATATGCAGGTTACTGCTCTGAGATCCCTGGGAAAGGAAGACACACAGGGGTTGCAACCCACAGGCTGAGAACCACTGTTCTGGAGATCAATGGATACTACACGCGAACCCTGGCCAGAGAAGGAGCAAAGAGGCCAGCGGTTGCCAGAGGCTCTGACAGCATCGAAACTCCACACGGCTCCTGGCAAGCACCAATACGACTCCTCTAATATAACCACCCCAATGTTCCTCATATCCCTGGGTTCCCTCCTCAATGCAGACTTGAATCAGTTCATCTATAACACAGTCCAACAGGCTGCTCAGATTCGTGGACAACACCCTACTGACTTGAGAATGCCTGCAAGAGCCGTGACTCAACAACTGATGATCCTCTGAGGGTCAAGGAATCATCTTTCTTCATCCGTGTCCAGCTCGTAGAAGCCAGACGAGTGAGTATCTACGAACCATCTTTCGGACAATGCACACTCCCCTCCCCTCTCTCTGTGGTGTGTGTGTGAGCAAAGAGGCTGGAATGTCAGTTTAGAGTTAGTGGTTAAACAGAACACATTCCCCCCGCGTCTTACAAATGCTAGCAGGCGGTCCAAATCAGGAGCCGAAGGAGAGGGAGCACGAGCAAGGAACTCAGGACCACTAGGGGTGCACCCACACACTGAGACAATGGGGATGTTCTATCGGGAACTCACCAAGGCCAGCTGGCCTGGGTCTGAAAAAGCATGGGATAAAACTGGACTAGCTGAACATAGTGGACAATGAGGAATACTGAGAACTCAAGAACAATCGCAGTGGGTTTTTGATCCTACTGCACGCACTGGCTTTGGGGGAGCCTAGGCAGTTTGGATGCTCACCTTACTAGACCTGGATAGAGGTGGCCGGTCCTTGGGCTTCCCACTGGTCAGGGAACCCTGATTGCTCTTCGAGCAGATGAGGGAGGGGGACTTGATGGGGGAGGGGGAAGGGGAGGGACATGGGAGGTGGTGGCAGGAGGAGGCAGAAATCCTTAATAAATAAATAAATTTAAAAAAAATTAAAAAAAAGAAAAACTAAAACCAAAACAAACAAACAAACAAAAAAACAAACAAACAAAAAAAAAACCAAATGCTAGCAGGCATGGACCTGGGATCGAGTCTGTCACACAGCCCTGGGCTTCTGAACTTCTGGAAAATTTAAATTCCCTTTCAAGTAATTCTGGGCGCCCCTGAAACTGTGTGGAGAAGGAAAAGGCCTGTCTCAGTGTGTAAGACCATCTGCTTCATAGGTGTCCTGATGTCTTGAGTGACAGGCACCTAGGAACATGTGCCCTCAAACTTCACTGGGTTAGGGCACATCCCCTGCTCACCCAAGTGAAAGCACCCATCATACCCTTCCTTGACCCCTCCTCCACTCCTGACTCCCCCACAGTGACAATCCCTTTGCCCCTTCCCAATGTCCTTAGAGCATCCTCCCTCACCTTTCCCAGCATGCAGAACTCCTCTGCCGCCCCACCCCACCCCGCCCCACCTCACCCCACCCCGCACCACACAGGTCCTCTCTAGCATTGTACAAAAACCATGGCTTCACAAAAAAATCTTTGTCTGTTCCTGTGCCGTATCTCAGGCTCTCAGCTCTCTTCCTTGAAGAGAATCTCTCCAGGGCTGTCTCCTTCCCACTCCCAAATTTCCTCCCTGCCCATAATGCCAGCTCCTTCTCCTCACACAGAGGAGACTTCCGTGCCCTCTGTGGAGTCCCAGCACCTTCTCCATCATCCTTCCACCTCATTACCTGTCACACTGTTTCTGTTTTAAAAGCCCCAGCTGCCTAGGTCTCCTCCAGCACAACCCTGTCCCCTGCACAATGTGCTGCTCCCTGGAAACTCCAAGCACAGCATCAAGGCCCTGACCCCCTTCCAGAGCCCCTTGATGGGTCACAAACACAAGAACCTGGGCCTGACCCAGGACATTTGCGGTCCTCTTGTGTGCCCCTCACTGGTAAATCCCCAGTGGGAAGCACACCCCCATGACCACAGCCACTCCTGTCAGGCCCCCTGTGACTAACTTTGTATAAAGAATGATCTGGCTTTTCCTCTCCTCGGAGCTTCCAGCTGAGCAGCCTCTGTCCCCCCCACCCCCCCCACCTTGTGTCTGCTCCCCTCAGCCTGAAGCAGAAAGAGAGTCCCCTCCCAGGATCCCTTCCTGCCAGAGAGCCCTCCCCACACCACTGCAGGACTGATCTCACCTGTGAGCAGGAGCCCTTTGCAGAGAAGCAGAGAAGAGGTCTCCATGGTCTCCAGTCCCCAGTGTGCTGTCTGGTGTCAGGCCTGCTGGTGTCCTTCTCTCTTATTTCTACCGTCCTTAGCCCCAGGGGCATTTCCAGGAGTCACAGGGGCTGTGGGCAGGGTCTCTGCCCAAGGCCACGGTCTGTGTCAACTCTTCTTCTTGCTGTGGCCTGGACTTCCTGCTCCCCCCCCCACACCTGTCCCAGAGATCCATCCTTTAAGATTTATTTGTTTGCTTTTTTTGACACGGGGCCTCATTATGTAGTCCTGGCTGTCCTGGAACTCACTATGCAGACCAGGTTGACCTTAGACTCACAGCGAATGCTGGGGTCTGACTCAGGACATACTAGGCAAGCCCTCTGCCTACTGAACAGTGTAGACTTATAAAGACCCAGGCACAGGGAACTCAAAAACTTTTGGAAACCTTCCACAAGAAGAAGACACACATCCTCTTTCTAGGACACAGGTCACTTCCTCCCACATACAACGAATGTCCCACTCCTGACACACCTGCTCCTGGGTACCTGTCCTGGAACTGAACTCTGATCTGTGACACCCGTGATCATAGATAAGGTCCTTACACAGTCATCATCCATTAGTCCCTTAGCCCCGGGAGAAATCCTTCACCTGCGTACTGGGTGTAAATCCTACCTTCAGGGCAGCCCGGATGAGCGGGGATTCTTATCTCATAAAGATCACATAGAGAGGCCAGTGGTTTCCTGTGGTTCTGACAGACCAAGGCCAGGACTCATATCTGCTCATATCAGGTCATATCTGGGGTGAGCTGCCGCTCTCTCAGGGCACAGACACTTCTCAGCCTTGCTGCTCACTGTGTGGTGTGGAGACCGAAACACAAAGGGGAGAAGGGGAGAGGGGTGGGAGGCAGCACTGAGAGTGGAGGGGACATGGCAGTGCCTTGGACACAACACACCCAGTCTGTGATTCTGGAAGATGCTCCTGCCTGGGAGGAGGCTGAGCTCAGAGGCAGGAAGATAGCAGAAGGGAGAGCAGAGCATGGAGCTGGGGAGCAGGGCTGAAGCTGTTCTCCACAGACGGAGAACTGAGTAGGCAGTAGAGACCATGAAGCCCCTTTCCTGCCTTCTTCCCTTTCTCCCAGCCAACGGCACCCTAATGGCAGAGACTTTTGTTCACAGTGTCTTAATGAAAGCATCAGGGTGGGAGATTCCCCCAGGAAGCTGAAACAACTCCCTTTAGCAGGATTTGTTATGACAAAGGTGTTCAGCAGGAACCTCCAACTCACCCCTGCATGATCCTAAAGCCCATTACTGTCTCTCCAAACCCTGTCCTCTCAGAGAATCACCCATAAAGAAAAGGCCCCAGTCATCCATAAAGAAAAGAGTCCAGTTCCACATTCTTGGCCATTACAGCAGCTCTTCTTCTGAAGTAGCCAGCAGCCCAAGTCTCCACCTAAAGCCATCAGCTTTTGACCATACTTGGCATAAACTCAGCTTGGGGTAGACATCGTCACCCTGTCTACAAGCTATAAAATCTCCGTGCTTTAGTTCAGGTGTGCAGCTTCTCCAGCCTCGATCTCCAGGACTGAATAATCCACCTGGGAGTTGCTTTGCTCAAATAAACTTCTTGTTAAACCTTTCCGATTTGGTTTGATCTGGCTGTGCCTTTTGAAAGGAGTAGACCAATTACTGTCCTCACAAAATCACAGTTCTAAGAGATTGTACCACCATCAAGGGCACTTTGAAGTGATATCAGGGGTTTATTGGAATCACAAGCACACAGAGACTAAGAAAGAGAGAGTCAAGAGCTAGGGTCTGGAGAGAAGGAGCTGGGGAGGAGGCATCCACCCCTTCCAAGGACTGACAGTGGCCAAAGATCTGAGGGCACTGAGTAGTGAGCCAGGCAGAGTCCCAAGGAGAGAGTCCACATAGGTGAATAGACAGGTTGGGGCAACAAGAGAAAGGAGGCCGCGTTGCTTTCTCCACCTAGGACTCACTCTATAGACCACACTCAAGCTGAGTTCAGTGCACACTGTTCAGGACACGGGGCTCCATCTTTCCCCCAAGAGGAAGGTCTCAGTCTTGATGGATTTCTCTCTATTTCTAGCCTCATGTTTAGTGGCTTGATTCCTCCCACCCACCCCCACCCCCAGAATACCTGCCTCCCAGTGCCTCCCAATGCCTCCCAGTGCCTCCCAGTGCCTCCCAGTGCCTCCCATGCTGCTGACCCACGTAGCTGAGGGGAAAAGTTCCTTCCATATGTCCTTTCTCTGCCAGACAATCACCAAAACTTGTCCTAGCACCAAAGAGTCACTGTAGGCATGAGTCAAAGTTGCATGATGTATAATAACCATTGATTTCTGTGGCCTACACACAGGGGACCCCACCATTCTAGAACAATATCCAGAAACACGCTGGATTCCCCACCCTATGAAGTTTAGAAACATACATTAAAAATGAGCAAACATGTGTGTTCATTTGTACCAGACTTTTTCTTTGGGGCACAATCAGCTCCCAAATCATGACACAGAGTTTTCTTATTGGTTATAAGTGCTCAGCCTAGCCTAGGCTCATTATAGGCTAGTTTTTTTTTAAATTAAATTAATCTCTTTCTCTTTATCTACCTTTTGTCTCAGGGCTTTTTACTTTTTTTCCCCTTCTATATATCTTAGTTTTACTGCTTTTTACGTCTGCCTGGCTGCTTGCCCTGGGCATGTCCCCCTCTTTTCCCCTTATTCTCTTCTTCTTCTCTTTTCTCTCTCTCAAGCCTGGATTTCTCTTCTGCTTATTCTCTCTGCCTACCAGCTCTGCCTATCCTTTCTCTGCCTAGATATTGATCATTCAGCTCTTTATTAGACCAATCGGGTGCCTTATGCAGGCAAAGTAAAACAGATGCAACACATCTTTACATAATTAAACACACATCCTTACATCGTTAAACAAAGGCAGCAAGAGCAAATGTAACACACCTGTACACAGCTGAAGTCATATTCCGCAGCCTAAACAAATGTAACACACCTGTACACAGCTGAAGTCATATTCCGCAGCCTAAACAAATGTAACACACCTGTACACAGCTGAAGTCATATTCCGCAGCCTAAACAAATGTAACACACCTGTACACAGCTGAAGTCATATTCCGCAGCCTAAACAAATGTAACACACCTGTACACAGCTAAAGTCATATTCCGCAGCCTAAACAAATGTAACACACCTGTACACAGCTGAAGTCATATTCCGCAGCCTAAACAAATGTAACACACCTGTACACAGCTGAAGTCATATTCTGCAGCCTAAACAAATGTAACACATCTTCACATAGTTAAATAGTCCACAACATTCATCCGTGTACACGGCAAATGTTTCTCTGTGCTCTCTGGGTGCTGGATGGGTTAACTCTAATTCCACACTCGGTACAGTCAGGCCTGTCTTTCTTATGTATTATGTCTCCGTGTGTGTGTTGAGCATTTAGTGCAGGACACACATGGCAGTGACAAACTGCAGTAGGTTTCAACCCTTCGCCTGATTCCACCCTGCAGAGAGGAGGGGCTTTGGTAGGTAACTCAGCTCCAGGACACCAACTGAGCTTAAACTCTTGGGCTTCACCATGAACATGATCCTGAGAGAGTGTGGGCATCAGGTAGGGCCTGGCTGAGGAAAGCATGGCATCCTCTGCGATGAAGCCCTGACCGCGTGTCTTGTTCCAGTCTTGAGCCCAGGTGACCCTGCCTGGATTTCCTCCAGGGCTAGAATCAGACTTCCTGTTAGAGCTGGGAGTGGACAAGGCTCTATTTAGCGTTGACATCTTCATAGCGTGTGGAACCAGCCATGCCCTGCCGTGTCAGCCACATACAGAATAAGTCACCTCCTGAAATGCACCATGGAGATCACAACAGGACAGGTGCCCAGGCCATCAGTCAGCTGTCCTGATGGGTTTGTGACACTTCATAGGAAGGTCAAGGTCCCCAAGCAGAGGGACAGAGATGCAGGTCCTCCTGGGAAGGCCTTGCCCTAGGAATTCAGCACGAGGGGTTCTCTCGAGGAACCAAATAGTAACAGTTTCTGCCAATGTGGACAGCTCCCAGACATGAGCTGCAGTTCTCCCACTGACCACCAGGGGCGGCATCAGGACACATCATCAACACTCAGAACAGTATTTGCCTAGGTCAGGAACTCACCTTGCGACTTAGCTTCCACTGGTCCCAGCTGACGAGGAGCTCCCTCCCACAAGTCTGTGTGATCTCCCGACCTTTTCCTGCACTTGAGCACTGTGCTGTTCCAGGGACCTGTGCAGTCCCCACTAGCCTGGCATCTTCCATGGGGAAAGACAGGGTAACCACAGGGGGATCACCCAAAGAAGACAAGCTTCCTGGAGGGAGGGAACGGGTTGGCCAGATGTATAGCTCAGACAACACTGGCAGTTGCATTGGCTCCCTAAAGCCCTTCATAGTAAGACGGAGCCACAGTCCTCTTCCAGGTCACTCACACCCTCGCAGCTGTCCCCCAGCCTCTGTCCTGGAACAGAGCCTCACTGGTGACTCCAGTGACAATGGACCAGATCCCTTTCCTGGTCACCTCTCAAGCAGTCCCATGCTTTCCCATCATTCATCTCTGTCACTTTCCTGTTGGAAGTAAATGCCACCTTCCCAGAGCATTGAGGGCACAGTTCAGACTGGGTGCCCGCATGGCTCTCTGTACCGCACGGACACATAGGGAGGACAGGGGCGCCCTCTTTGGTGCCGACAGACCAAGGTCAGGACACAGTCTAGTTCAGCTGCTGTTCTCTTGGGAAACAGGGTGCTTTTCTGCCTTGTTGCTCAATGTGTGGTCTCCAGGACTGAAACATAAGAGAGAGAAAAGGGGAGAGGGACAGAAGGCAGCATGGGGCCTTAGGGTGGGGTTCAGGGCAGTGTCTTGATTCTGAGAGGTGCTCCTGCCTGGGATGAGGCTGCGCTCAGAGGCAGGAAGGACAGCAGGGCTGGGGCAGACGTGCTCCTCCTCAAGAAGACAGAGCAGGCAGCAGCAGTTATG